AGCGACGCGATCGCTCCATCGCTTGTCCATCGCTTGCAATCGCTCTGCCTCGAGCGATTGCATCGCGATTGCGCAATCGCTCTGCCAAAAGTGCAAGCGGCGGGCAATGGCCCGCCGCGATCGATACCGATGTCGACTGCATCGATCGTGGGCGGAGGCGGGGCCAATCGCCCGTCGCTCCCACTGTTGCGCCCTGGGCAGAGCGACTGCATCGCGCGATGCAATCGCAGAGTCTGACCGACAGCTGAGCCGCACGCGGCGGCTACAGGTCCCTGCGGGTAGGAACGTGGCAATTTGCTAGGACTGGTAAGCTAAAACAAATGCAGAAATGGGGACCACACAGACGGAACATAAAAGCGTTGTATCGATCGTCCACACAGGCGAGTCCCAAGCAGAGTCAACCCTGCGTTGCGCAGTTCGCAACGGCACGTTGAGAGATCCTCAACGCACGCTGTATGGGCGGAGACACAGACGGCTCGAGCATGCGAGTGTGAATGTTCGCGCGAGAGAACGTGTCTAATCGGGCGAAACTGCGCAACGTGGCCGTTGAGAACTGCGCAACGCAGGGTTGACTCTGGTCCCAAGTTTGGCCAATTGCCATGTTTCAGACCGCAAAAACGCAGGCGACATCGCGCGCGGTGACCTTGTTTTAGTGCGGCGGTCGCGGGGACTCTTGACCGTCTCCCGCCTCGTAGTCGGTCGTCTGATCATATCGCACAGCGTTAGGCATTGTTCACAGTTTTTGAATCATCCGAATATTCGAATTCGCGAAAAGAATTATATACGTATCGACCATGAGAATCTCCGCACGCGCGAACGCGGATGCGAAAAGGTTTAGATGCGTATCGACGTAGTCAACTCCGCCCTCTCAGCGTTTCGCGTCGAGGTATCGAAAGCGCGAAACGATGCGCCGCCTCCACTTCACCTGATCGATAGATGTACAGGGGGGGGGGCAAAAAAAGACATTTTGCCTATGTCGGACTTCGGCTCTTTTTTCTTCGCAGAGATTGCTGTCGTTGACGGGAGTTCCTCAGCAGAGTGTTCCCTAAGTGTCCCTCTATAAGTAAACGCAGGCCCTCCTTCACTGCCCTCACCGTCTTCAGAATATGACGTCATCTGTGACCGTCGTCGCTCAAGGAGGTCTACCGTAAGTGCTTCAGCCTGAAGCTCTTACGCAATTTCGTGAATCGATTCAATGTTGTACAGTTTTCTAGAGGCATTAGTACCACTGTGCAAATCCCCTCAAAACTAGCTTTCCA